AGAGAATCAACTAGAAAAATTTATTTGTTAAGCTGAATTTGAAAGAAAAATGAAAAGAAGAAAGAAGAGAGATATATGTGTATTTGCTTTGAGCAATCAGTGGAGGGGGCGATCTTGTATGGGATACTGACACCACATTTTCCTGGAAGGCCAGTTGCCTTGACAAAGTTGATAGTCTTGTATGATTCAACCAGAGATTTCAGGCAGGAGCAAACCGATTAGTGGTTAGGTGTGGTTTTGGCTGCACCGTAAAGAGACTTAATCCCATCACAGCATGCCGGCGGTACCATGTTGCCACCCTGCACATAAGGGGGGCTCGGTCTCACCACGGTGATATTGGGAAAATCATCGTTCTTCCACACAAGGGGTTTGGAGAAGAAACCAATGAACAAATGATTAAGAACATCAATAAAATTGCTTCCACTTGAACGAGGTAGAAGAAAATCCGAAAATAAATAATCATAACATTTTCAATTGATTCCCACAAAAACGATTTGAGACGAAAGCCACGAACCAAAACCAGGAAATAAATGATCAACAACTTCATAGAAAAAGTCAAAAAGCTCAAACACGAAGATCATTGTCCTCAAACGATATTTGTCCCATCTCGTTGAATTTGGTGCTTAAAGGGTTTCCTGACAAATGGTTTGTACGATATATCAAACCTTGTAATAGAAAAACAATTAAACACTTGTGTTTTCTACCAAAACTTAAGAACGTAAATTGGATTTTGAATATGGATGATAGAATATAGATTCTTTGTATTGGAATGATGATTTTATCTCAATGTTGAATTTAATAATGTTTTCCAAGTATATTTGTATTGATATCATGTTATCTATTTATAGATAACCATCAATACCCACGAAATGACGCCAAAAAACTATGGAAAGTTTGTAACTTTTCACAAAAAATCACAAAAAATCCAAACAAGGATGGCAGTCCAATGTCTCTTTTCTTTCTAGGCGACCGCATAGAACAATTCCTTAGGGTTGCATAAAAGGAACACATGCCAGAGCTGGAATCCCTGCATGGGTGTATGCGACCGCATACCCTTTGATCTATGCGGACGCATAGACCAAAGTTCGGGCTACCAATTTCATTTTTCATTCCAATTCCGAATTTATGAATTTTGAACAACAATTTTCCCCTTGTTCAAAATTCAATAAAATCTCATATTCAAAATACAATACTTATGCATGATGATTAGATATCTTTCGATTTGAATCTAACGTATCACATTAAGTTTGTTTCATTCCAGCCTTAATTTCCATCGTATTTTCAAAACTTGGTTAATAAGGTATGCTGTTATGGCCATTCTCGTGTGTGTGTTCATAAACGTGTTCTCAAGTTCCTCAAACTCGCTTAGCGCTAATATGGCCTTGCGCTCATCATTTTCAACAACTTTTAAGAGAGAAAATCAAACTCTCTATTGAGACGGCACTACCACGAAATTTATCTAGGTGAATTTCTTCCAATATCTTTATTACTTTTAGAGATACTTGTATCCCGTACTGAATTTCATTAAGAGTTTAAAGCTCAACCCTCACTTCAGTAACAACCAGCATTATATTCTTAGGATAAGGTTAATTGCGTATTTTATAATGCTGAAACTATCCTTATATCGAATGACTTGTTGTTATCCTTTGAACCGATGAATTACTTTGTTAAGTAATGATAGGCAGGGTTGCCATCATTGATTGATCTTTAGATTTAAGAGTTTCGACCATATCCTACTCGAAGTAGATATTACTAAATCCTTATTCAAAGGTTTAGTTAAAAAATCCGCTATGTTCTTTATTGACTTAACATAATTTAGGAAAATTATTCATCTCCTGATTAATTTCCTTATGTAGTCATGTCTTAAAATCATATGTCTAGACTTTCTATTACATATAACTTAGCACCTTATCAAATATAGCTAGTCAACGATCGATTCATTTGATAGATACAAATTGTCACCTACTAAGAAATCTTCTTATGAAACCACGTGCTTCTCACTAACTTTATGTAAAG